ATATTTATTTATCAATCTTCATTAAAATTTCTTATTGGAAAGTAGATTTTCAACCAACACAAATGTGCTCTATGTCTAAATAAATTTTTTAAAGAGGTATCTCAAATAAAACCTATAAGTAACCATTCTAATGTTAAATTGGACAATTTAATCACTACAATAATTTTCTAAGGTTGTTTAACCATTTAAGTTATATTGTCTTTAGAAAAACGGTGGATTAACAATACACATGATCCTTTCCTTAAAACTCACAATATCTCAAACTTAGTGTACCAAACTATAATTACTATTATCATGGGTTCTATCTAAAATTTTCATAGATTTTAATGATTCTCCCATGTTGGAAAAGGATTATCGACTGCTTTCTAGATTCCAATCAATTCCTATACGTTATCGGTGTATTAAGAAATAAATTTGATAAATGACTTCCTTAGAAAGTTTAGAAAATGATTCCTCCCTATTTTAGGGGTTTTAGTAAAAAGCATGGTTCTTTCATCATTAATTATCAATCAAGAGTATGGACAAGGAATTGGTGAGGTTAGGGCGTTTGATAAAGTATGACCTTCCCCATTTCTCAATATTTTGCATAAGTGATTTTAAAAAACACAAAGTCAGCACGAAATCACCTAGTCCGACTCGAGAATCAATCACCCTAGATCGGCAACTAGAAAAATATTAAGAGGAGCCGACAGGGACTGATACATTCTCAGAGCAAGTTTATTTTCCCCATTGTCAATCCGTTCAATGAGTGGTTGACCCAGTTAAATTTAAAAAAAAAACCATAAATTTTGTTAAAAAATGTGCATACATTATTTAAAAATATAATTTTTTATAATTTATATCGGTTTTATGATTGTTTGAAAACTTTTATTATTGCATGCTCCAAAGGTTCGTCTGAAATATTTCAAGGTGTACATCAAATTATTCAATAATCCATCTTTTATATACTTTTTTTGACTTTAATTGATTTCCATTGCTTATTTTAGACTTTACTGATTTTTAATTATTTTCAACTGTCATTGTTTGCCTTTTTTTTGACATTATATGGTTCGGCTAAATTCACTCAGACTCGATCGAGTTACGTATCCAACCTAGTTCTGAGTTGGAATCATTACTCCTAAATCAAAATGTACAATCCAATTCGAAGTGAAAATGAAATATAGGCTCCAAATCTATTATTTTTGAGAAATTTATGCTAATATCCCTTATTTTTTAGTATTTTAAAAAATATCCCTTATATTTTGAATTTTTCACGCATTTTTTTTTTTTTGTGTGTTTCTTTTATTTTCATGACCTTGTCCGTAAGCAAATGTTTGAACTTTCCCCCTATTATAGAAAATACGGTGCGAAATTTCGTCTAAACTTAGCCGAAAATTTAATTTTGATCCGAAAATTTGTAAACTGCTTAAATTTCGTACGTAGTATGGTCTATCTGTGATCAACGCCACTTTTCAAAATACTGAAAAGACAAAAACAAGTTTCCTCAAAAGAGAATGGTTTTTTTTAGGACAATATCGGTATAAGGTTTCCCAATGGAGGGTAATTTTGGTACAAATATTTTGCTTTTTTGAAAATGGAATGTCTGTCATATTCGAGATGCGGACCACTCGATCTTGATTTCTTCATTACTTTTTGATAAAATAAAAGAAATAATTAAGTTCAGAATTGAAGAGAATAAAACAAAATAAAAATTATAAATAATGACATCTCTTCTTCATTTTTTTCTGTTTTATTGGGGCATAGGAAATGGTGCACCATCACGCCATTTCCTTTACTATATAACAAGCTTAAGAGTGTAATGTCTTTTATTATAGCTAAAAGAAACCCTCGTTTCTTATCAAATATATCGAAAATAGCCTGTTCTCTATCCAAATTTCAAGTCCCTCTTGACTTGTAAGTCCAAGGAAGAAAGTACCTTCTTATTGATACCCAAATTCGTATGGGAGTATATACTGTACACTAACTCTTGTGGTAAAGTAGGTGCTTGAAAGAATTGTTTGGGTTGAAATATATTGGTTTATTCAAAGTTGGTCCGATGCTAGTTGAACTAATTTTTACCGAATTCTAAAAATACTAAAAAAATCATAATAGTTTTAAAATTTATAGTATATTAAAAAAACGTTGCTTATTTTATTTGATCGGTTGAATCAATCAAAAACTGATCAAACCGACCAAAATTAAGCAAACACTGATTTTTTTACTAAATCCAGTTTTTAATCTAGATCAGTTGCCAAAACACCAGTCAGCAGTCCAACTGGTCAGACTACCATTCAGTCATGTCTTGGTAACTGTATTTTAATATGGGTATGAGAACTGCTTGGTTTATTTTTAAGAAATTGAACTTAGTTCTTGAGTTCGTCAATACTTAGATCATGTCATTGGTCTTTATGTTCAATTTCTTTAACATTTATTTAAAAAGTAATCTTGAGTTCCCTTTTTTACCCGAGGGAGCATATCGACAATATACTCCCCGGGAGCCGGAAAGCATTTCACATTGGCTTCTATATATGTAACGGGTTTTTGTGGAACTGTGAGAGAGAGATGATGAATTCAAGCTGTGTTTCAGGGTGTTTGGAGGCCCAAGCCCCCATTAAAGTGAGCTTTGTGAAGCTCTACCAATGGCCACAAGCAGATGCAGAGTTTGTGAAGCTCATAGCCCAAAACAAGGAGAGTTTTGCAGGCAAAAGGAGGGAAAATGGAAGCCATGAGAGCTTTGCTTGCAGGCAAAAGTACCTGAGAAGCTACACCTTTAGCAAGAACGAGAGTTTAAGAGAGAGAACCAAGAAATGGTTTTTGGAGAGGAAGGAGATGATGAGAGAGATCAGAGTTTTTGAAGTTATCTTTGACTGCTTGTTCTCTTGCATAGCCAGGGTGGACGTTATAGAGTATCGGTAAGAGTTTCAGATTTTAAGAAGTCTTAAGAGTATGTTTTTTACTTGCTTTTTTCTTTTTGGAGTGGAAGATCAAAACTCTCAAACATTACAGTATAAATTTTGGAGTTTTCTTGCTTGCTAATCGATGCCTCTCTCTCTCCTTTCGAGAACTGCAATGTTTGTTCCACCAAAAATCTCTGTTTTCTTTCCTTCGAAAACTATAACATTTGATTCATCTCAAATCTCTCTCTCTCTCTTCTTTCTATCCTTTTGAGGACACTATCGTTTGATTCACCAAGATATGCTGGTGCTTCTTTTGTTTCCCTTTCAGGACAATGATATTGGTTAAAAGTAATAAAAAGAAAACTTAGTTTTGTTGAATGATAATTTAATGTACCTCTTTTTTTTTTTTTGAGGATAGTTGTACACAGTTATAAGCGTCAGCATATAGGTGCTCCGACACTTAAAAAATTTACTGTATTCTTGTTAAATCTTAACCGGTGCACAAAAACTCACCTGGTGTCCAAGCGGATTCTTTACAGCAAAATAACAAAAAATTGTTAAAAAGTAAAAAAAAATCATCAATAGCTAAAGAAATAACAACAATATTAAAGTATACAAAAAATGGAAAAATATATAAAGAAGAGAGTTTGTGGAAGGCACGATTTTCAGCTTGAAAGAATTAAAAAAATCCAAGAAAAAAAAAAACATGAAAAAGTAGAGCATATCATAATAAAAATTCACAAATCATCATAAAAGATAAACTTTACATAAAAACATATATTTGTTATGATTGTTAGTCTTTAAAAAAATAGGAAAATTATTATTTTTAAGTCCGTTTTAATGATTCTAGTTTGCAAGTAAAAGTCACCTCGGCCAAGTTTTTTAGCACTAGTCTTATCTTTTTTTTTTTTTGAAATAAGAATATCAAAGTGTTTTAAAATCTCACCTCCTCCTTTCCTTTTCTTTTTTTCTTCTTTTTAATTTTTTATTTTTATTTTTATTTTGGGAGGGGGGGAGGAAATAGTTTAGTTTTAAAGGTATTAGTGGGGTGGTGACGGTGGGGATGACTAGGATGTACGGGTGCTACCATCATGACCGAGCGAGCGAGCCTCTTTCCCTCATCTCCTCCTTTGAACAATTCATTAACCCATTAACGTTTTGGTGGCTCGTGTTTGTGCCAACTTTGACACACGTATCTGTGTCCTTATGACATTGATTGACACTTTTCTTTGCCTTTCTTTAAAAGGAGTTTGGAGCTAACGGTTATTTAAGTTGGTGAAGCATACCATATCAGTGTGCCGTGTGCTTCATCACTCGTTATCTACCGCATGTTCTCAATGATGGACGGCGGAAATAAGATGGTTTCTCTGTGAAAATACATCAAAATCAATAGTAATCTTACTCCAAGTATGAAGTGCTTTTGAATCCCCGCGCACTTTCCTTACCTGTCATTCCTTCTTATTGGAAATCTTTTTCAAAAATTTCCTTATTTTTAGATCCATGTTAAATTGGAAACTTAGCCCCTAAATCCAAGTTATGAAGCACAACTAAAAAATAAAAAAGCAAATGAAGCATCTTTTTAGTTACCTAAACTCTGCAAATTTCCAAATCTTTTCAACTCCCACTAAACCCTATCTTGTGGAGATGGTAACTGTAACATTTAGTGTGGGTCAATACACTAATGGCACGACTGATGAAGCAATTTAAACGCTTCATATTAGCCTTTTCATTGAACTCTTGCCGTGAAATAACCATTAACAACCTAAAATACCATCTCCCCAATTGACCAAATAATATAAAAACGGTGCGGTCTATATAATGTTGCAACCTTAAATAACCCAATTAAGGGGCACCTCCAATTTTTATCATAACATGTAATTTTGTTGTAAAAAATTCTTAGGATTATCTTAAAATTTATTTTCATATCTAGTTAGAAAATTTTAAACTTCAAAAATGATTAAAATCAAGTATATCTATAAACATATGAAAATCTTAAAAATGGACAGTCTAGGTAATGTGTTGCAAGATGTATTATTTATGGGACTCAATTTTTTTTTTAATATTCGTACATCTTGATGTTGAGATGATCAATTAAAGGGTATTTCAATATTAAAACAACCTTTCTGATAGATTTTTGATGTGCATATGTAATTCTACATTTTAAGGTTGCAACCTTATATAAACGTTTTGGGTGTGGTTTCCATAAGGTTGCAACCTTAAACAATCCAATTAAGACGCACCTTCAAATTTGATCATAGCATATAATTTTGATGTAAAATATTCTTAGAAATATCTTAAAATCTATTTTCATATCTAATTATAAAATTTAAAACTCCAAAAATGGTTAAAATCAAGTAGATCTATAACAATATGAAAATTTAAAAAATGGATGGTCTAGATAATGTGTTGTAAGAGGCACTATTTTTAGGACTCAAAATCCATTTTTTTTTCATAATCATACATCTCGATGTCGAGATGCTCAATTAGAGGGTTTTTCAACATTTAAATAATATTTTTCAATGGATTTTTGAGGTGCATTCGTAGTTCTACATTTTAAGGTTGCAACCTTATATAAACTTTTTCCATATAAAAATGTGTCATGTTTGAAGGTAAATATTAGAAGATTCAATTCAGTTTTGGGATTGACATTTCGGGCCAACATTTGAAGACTCAACTAACTCCACTAGGACTCGGTTAAATAACAGACAGGCTGAGGCAAGTTTAGGGCTGAGAATTTACCAAAACCTCATCCGAAAACTCGAAATTTAGATTTTATCTAGATCTGGTTATGGATCCAAGATTTGGATTTTTATCCAAAACAGTTTTTAAAGTTATACATATTAGTTTTTTATATATATGTTATAATTATATATGTATTAATCCATATATATACATATATAATTACTTTAACTTTTACAATTATATTTTAACTTTGTAATATACAAATTGGAATTGATCCGGATCCAAATCATATATATAGTTTTGGATCCAGATTAGAACATTATGGATCCGATAAGATATAAATCCAACATATACTTTTTGGATCTGGATCTGGGTGGATCTAGACCCAATCCGAAAAATTCCCTGCCCTAGGCAAGCTTCAGGGGCAAGTTTAAATTAACTTAAAAACCCTAGTTTTTATTCAAAAAATTTGAAATCAATGATACAGAAATGCGTCAATATATTATTGATTGGGTCTTTACATGATTTGCAAACTTTTATTATAGCATGCAGCAATTTTTATATTCTTCTTTATCTATTTTTCTTAATATTTCAATATATAAATCAAAATTCCAATGATCCAATTTCCATATACATTTTTGGACTTTCATATACTTCTAACGATTTTTATTAGTTATTTTTATTTTTTTCCCTAAATTTTTAATTATGTTTAACAAATTTTTCACAATTGTTTCTGAATTTGTTATGATGTTTTTTTCCAGTACACAACTCAGACTCGGCCGAGTTACTAAGCTCGAGCCAGGTCCAAGTCCGACGGCCGAGCCGAGCTAAAAAACAATGTTTCTAATACTTATAGTTGTATCCAAATTTAACACAAGTATCTGTGACTTTTTAGCGTAGCCACTAAATCTCTCTCTTGACCCCATAAAATTCCATACACAAGTTGATGTCCTTAATTCTATATTTTTCATGGAAAAGTATACAATGAGATCATTTAACTTTGCCACAAGGTGATCATAATTGATCTTGACCGTTAGATGTGAAATCAAAGGCGATAGTTATATCATTGTCCAAGGTCAAACGTCAAAAGAAATTTTTTCAAACTTTGGAACACACCTAAGGTATCCAATTTCACATCGAATGGTTGTAAGTAATTGTGATCTCATTGTATCAAAAGTGCACGGTCTCATTGTATATAATTTCATTTTTCATTGGGTCTGTCCTTTTTGAAACATCTAAGTTTTTTAGAGCAATTGCTTATGGCTTCCGTGAATATACAAATAAATGAATATAATGTACGAATTTTGTAATCCGTTGTATGTCTTTGAATGTGTTGGCGTCCAACTTATTGCAAAAGAGAATTTCAACAACTTGATCCCAAAAATCACAAATTGCAACAAATCATATCAACAGCTGACTTAGCAATGGCATGAATTTAATCAATTTTAAGCAAGTGGCATGAATTTAATCAATTTTAAGCAAGTGGCATGAATTTAATCAATTTTAAGCAAGTGGCATGAATTTAATCAATTTTAAGCAAGTGGCATGAATTTAATTAATTTTAATTGGTGAACGCATATAGCTTACTCCAGGCAGAGTACCATATACATTTACGCCCTCGGGCAAAAGAGATAATGAGAAGGATTTTTTCCATCTAAAAGTCTGGGAGTACTTCAGTTGAGATATGAATATTGAAGAAGAGAAAATTGGAGTTTTAGTTTGGATGCAATCTTGGAACAATAGTTTTTCAAGCATAGCTAGAGTGCTTGTGATTTTTTTTTCTTCTTTCTTTTTTTTAGTTCTGAGAACATATAGTATGCTCCTACACGAGCATATATTATACACCAACTCCCTCAAGCAGATGACTTATTAGGAATGATTTTTTCAATCTGAAGGTTTGGGAACCACCTAGGAATCGATTATTTTTGAAAGAAAAAAAATTAAAATATCAAGTTTTCTATCATTTTGTTTTCACCCTAAAAAAACTGGACAGCCTATTGTCGATCTTGAGACACTATTTTTTTAAATGCACATAATGTACAATTTGGAAATCTTTTTTTATTAAAGGTAGACTGTGGGTTAATGATGTTACATCCCCAAAATTTGTGGTCGCTCCTACATTGGTTTTTATCGGAGTGAGTAAATATATAGTATGTTCCTGCAGCAATATGAAATCTTTAGGCTTAGTTTTGTTTTGGAAGTCAGTCCCAAGATTCAGGAAGTTACATGGGAAAATTTTAGATTTCTTAAACGTTCAACAAGGGAGAGATGGGGAGATATGCTCCCGCAAGAGCATATAATCTTTTAGTTTAATCAAATTCATGTGGCCACATAGGCCATGCCAATAGATTAAGCAACCATGAGACAGGCCAAAAGATGGTAAATATTTCTTTTATCAACCCAAAGTCGGCCTTGAGTTTTCAAGAATCCAAAAAAGAATCATCAACATCATACCTCTTTTTCAAACTATTTAGGGTCGGCTAGCACTACCTTGGTCTGCCATTGTAGTCCATCGAAAGAATGAATGGGACAAAATTGAATCCATCAAAATCTCTCTTTTCTAATGACATTTCATGATCTGCTTAGTTTGAAAAGTTCTGGCTGGAGAGTGCCCTCCCACAAAACTGGGCTGATATGGAACTCTTGCTTTTACATTCATGACTGTTTAAACTCAGACTCGCCAAAGGCTCGAGCTTGAGTCCCCTTGTCGCACTGGAGCGAGTCTAAGCCGGACTGGGGAATCTTTACTACGAAATTTTTTTAAACGTTACGAGCAAAGGGAGATGAAGCAGAAGGTAGCTCTCGGTGCTGTTTAATACGCCAAGGTACGTGTCCATGCTCTCACAAATGCTGCCGTTTCATGAGAGCAACGAGAGCTGACAATACCAGGGTTCTCAACTCATAAATTGATGGATTTTGATGCTTTGGCTGGTGTAGTTTAAAGAAAATACTTGAATTCGATGAAAAAGATTGGTCAAAACTTAATTAATTTTTGCCAGTGTAACTTCCTAGTTTTGACCGATTAGAATATTCAAATAAATATAGTTAATTTTTTTAATATATTTCATATTTTTAAAATATTATTTTTATTTATCTTTTATACTTTTAAAATTTGAATCAATCGCTTTAACCATCAATCCGACTAGATTTGACTAGATCATACTGTTGAAAACTTGAGGGAAGCGATGGACCCACTCCCAAGATTAGAGGCAGTGTCGTGAGAATATCGATTGCAGAGATCAGGCTTTTACAAGAACTATGAGAACTCTATAAATTTCTGTGTCCCTCTCCAAAGCCATGAAACTCTTCTTAAAGAGGGATGGAGGAGGTCGTTCTCCAACGTTCGGCTTTCTCCTGAAATCTCTGAGAAAACGTGACCTTGTAATCTTGGGAAGTGGGTGATTACTTTTTAGCCGTTAAATAACTATACTTTCTCTCTCTAAAAAGCCTCCCTTGTTTAGAGATAAACATTAAATTATAAGAGAGATAAATATTGCACGTTTAATGGCCCCATGGCCACACACACGTACCAACATCTCCCACTTGGCCATGAGCTCCAGATATCTTGAAATATCATAAAGTCTTTACCACTTAATGAATTTAACATTTATGTGCATCGTTTTTGTCATGAGGTTTTCACGCAAGTGCGGTTATACATCTCATAACAAAAAAAATATCCAAAGTCATGTCATGGTTTTTCATGCTAATGCGGTTTTTTCTTCTCATGACCAAGACATCTATTAGGGAGTTCTTGACTTAAATATTTCCAAATCCCATCAAAGCTACAAGCTTTGATAATATTTTTGCACTCAATCCCTTTGTTAAAGGGCCTACAATCATATCTGAAGATGGCAAATAACTTACAGTTATTTCATTCTTTCCAATAATATCATAAATATAATGATAATCAATTCCAATGTGCTTACCTTTGGAACTATAAGCTCCATTTCTAATTGATGAAATCGCAGCCTGATTATCGCAAAAAAATTTTAACAGGTCCGTCTGCTATATCCAGCTTCAAATCATTCATGAAGCGTTTAATCCATACGGCATAAGTGTAGCAATGCTACAAGCTATATACTCGGCTTCCATAGTATACCGAGCTACACAACTTTATTTCTTACTAGACCAAGAAACACATCCACCTCCAAAAAGGAATACAATTCCTGAGGTTGATATTTTATCATCTAGGTCTCTTGTAAAATCTGCCTTAGAGTACCTAGTAACATTTAAGTTGTCAGCTTAGAAGCACAACTTGTAATTTTTAGTTTTCTGAATATATTTGAGTATCCTTTTTACAGCTTGCTAATGAGCCATATCAGGATTATTCTGAAATCTACTTACAAGACCAAATGTATGACTCAAATCATGTACTGTACACAACATGACATAATTTATGCATCCTACAGCTTGAGCATATGGAATTCTTTCCATTTTAGCTTTGTCACTATCATTTAATGGATACATTTTCTTTGATAAATTCAAGCGTTTACAAACAGGTGTATCTATGGGCTTGCAATTTTCCATCTTAAATCTCTTAAAAACACTTTCTAAATAATTTTCTTGAGATAAACATAACAGTCTTGAACTTCTATTTCTTGTTAACTTAATGCTCAATACATATGAGCCTTCTCCCATATCTTTCATCTCAAAATGAGAACTTTCCTATGATTTGGTATGGTTAATCATGCCAATATCATTACCGGCTATCAAAATGTTAGGTTTCTTACCTTTTCATAATTCATATGGGGTCAAGTCTATAGATTTAGTTGGAACACAATTAATGATATATATTGCAGTGTTGAGAGCCTCACCTCAAAAATGAGGTGATAAATTTGAATGGCTCATCATGGACCTGACCATGTCCATTAGAGTTCTATTCTCCTTTCAGCTATATCATTTTGTTGTAGTGTATATGACATAGTTGTTTTCTGAATTATACCATGCTCCTTACAAAATTCAAAAAATAAAGTAGAACAATATTCACCTCCCCTATCTGTTCGAATAATTTTAATATGTCTACCTAACTGATTTTTACCTCATATTTATATTATTTAAATGTTTCTAATGCATCTGATTCTTACTAATTAGGTATACATACCCATAACGTGAATAATCGTCTATAAATGTTATAAAATATTCCATACCTCTATGTGTTTTCACATTTAATGGGCTACATATATCAGAGTGAACAATACTAACTAGTTCACTAAACCTTTTCTCTTTAAGAAAAGGCTTCTTAGTTAATTTATCAGAAATACATGACTCGCATGTTTTCAACACAATTTCTCCTAAATTGGGGAGCAAGCCTCTTTTAACCATTTGATTCATTTTTTCTTTATTTATGTCCTAATCTTAAGTGTCATAAATATAGATCATTCATACACATAAAAGCATTAAAAGAAACATCAATATAACCAGAAAATGATGAGCTTTCATTAATATTCAGTCGGTAAATTGTCAACTTTAGTACCGTACACCAAAGCTCTAGAATGCTTCCCAATGGTAACCCAACCAGACCTGAACCTTATTTTCAAAACCCTTGCTGTCTAGCCTTGGGACAGAAATCAAATTGCGTCTCATATTAGGTGCATACAATATATCAGTCAATAAGAGATTTGTTCCTCTTGGTAAACACAGCTTGAAAGTACCAACACCTAGTACATCACAGTATGTGTCATTTCCCATATAAATCCGTTGGTTACCGGCTGCAATATCTTTCAATTATGTGAATCCATCCTTGGTCATAGAGAAATGTCGAGTGGAGGCTGAGTCGACCCACCAATTTCTCAGGTCATGATTGGTAACTATTGATTCTAGGATTACGCAAATCAAATCCTTTCTCTTATTTTGATTATTTCAAACAGGGTTGTTATTTTGATTCTTATTTTTATTTTTCAGCTTAGAACAATTAAACTTAATATGCCCAATTTCCTTACAATAAAAACAGGTCTTCTCAACCTTATTCTTTTGATTTTTAAAATTTCTCCCATTTCCCTTATACCTATTATTTTTTTGATAATTGAAAGTTTTCTTGAGGATCTGAGAAGATGAACTTTGGGCAAAGTGAAGCTCATTTGACTTCTTCTTCATTCTTCTCTCAGCTTCAATACTAAGATGCATGGAAAGATTTAACATGGTTATCCCTTGTGCAGAATGGTTCAATGCAATTACAACAGACTCCCAAGATGGAGGGAGACTGTAAGAACAATGGACACTTGCATGTAACCAGGGACTGGATTCCCAGCTGCAGCAAGGTCCTTTGCGAGCACTTTTATTTTATTAACATGTTCGGTCACTGAGTCCGTTTCTTTCATTCTGCAAGAATTGTATTTTTCTAACAACAGTTGTACATGGGTTTCAGAAGTGGTCCCATACTTTTGAGTTAGGGTACCTATCATACTTTGAGCTGTGGTGTAAACCTCAAAGACGCTAATTAAATCATCTTCCATAAAGCTCAACAGAGCAGTCCTAGCTATTTTGTCATCTTCTAACAATTTTTCAAGTTGCCTTCTGGCTTGACCATTGGCATTAGGTTCTAAAACTGGTGGTTCTGTTTCTAAGACAGAATCTACCATATCTTGAAAAAGAATATATCCAAAATTTCTTTTCTATATAGAAAAATTGGTCCCATTGAGTTTTTCAAGTTTGGATAATTCTGACATGACTAGCCTAGATACCATTTTAAATTTTTAGATAATATCTAAAAGTACAAAAAACAAATTTAATTGTGTTTAAGAAAAGGTTGTCTGCTAGCTAAATCAATAAGTTTGCCGACTCTCAGTGAGCTGCAACTTCAAAGAAAAATTTTCTCGAACAATTTATGTTAGCACTGCTGTAATGCAACAAAAAATTAATAAAGTAAGGCAACAACTACTTTTATGTCAAATCTTGCATGAGAATAATTTTCATAAATACGTGAATATGTCTTAGCACAAGATAGAGAGTCTACAATGATATTTGATATTTTTCAACAAAAAAAATATGGCATTACCTAATCATACAAAAAAGAAAAATTCACAACATCAAGATCATGAAATTTTCCAACTTAGAGAGCCCAAAGCATAGGATAATTATGCAATGCAGTGACAATTATTATGCAAATAAAATATGTCGAAAATCCATAAATTATTAGTCAAAAAAAAAAAAAAATTCATGCAGTTGATATAACAACCTTTACTTGAATAGTTGTTGTGTGCATAGCAATTTTCAATAATCCAATAAAATTATGCACTAATTTTCAACAATAAATTATGGAAGAAAGAAAAGATGCACGCCAACTGATTTTCAGCAATTATGTGCCTCTTTGTCTCTCTCTCTCTCTCTCTCTCTCTCTAAAATTACAGCAGTAACTTTATATCTCTATCTCTTTAAAATTAAGCATCAAATTTTATCATTAATTTTATTTTATTTCATTATTAGAGAGAGAATTACCACTTCACTTTGGTTAAGTGGTTAAGGTGCGTGGCTGCTATGTGCACGAGTTTTAAAAAAAATATATATATATACACGCTTGGGTAAATATTAATTCACTGCAAGAGCTAAGTATCTATCCATATATGTACGAGATCTTGGGTAAATATTAATTCATTGCAAGAGCTAAGTATCTATCCAGATATGTACGAGATCTCCTACTTATCAGTCACCGACTTGCTATATACAGGAACAATGAATCATACAGTGTCAATAACCTTATCAATAAGATATATACGAATCAAGAACAATGAGTCAAC